TATTTGTATACATCAGCACACGAAATCATTGAAAGTCATTGGTTAGTTTAGTTCTTAAATCTTGATTATTTAGTAGGTGTGACAGATAAATGATAACAAAAATTAAAAGGTAGCACAGACTGATACGAATTTTACGTGGTTTTTGCAGCTGCATAATTAGATATTGAAATATATCAGTGAGAGAAAATTAATATCGTTGCAGTGGCGATACCGCAGTTATCATCACAGTGTCGACACTCTATGTATCGTCAAAGTGAACATATCACTTTTGATGTTACTTTATATTTCTATTGAGGACATATGAGTCTCTCTCTCTCTCTCTCTCTCTCTCTCTCTCTCTCTCTCTCTCTCTCTCTCTCTCTCTCTCTCTCTCTCTCTCTCTCTCTCTCTCTCAGGATGAACAGGTCTTAAAATGCGTCAATAACTGTACATCCACTAATATATCTAAATGTAATTTTGAGAAAGAGGGTCCACAAAAATATTACAGGAAAATCGATCATCGATCTCCAAACCATAAAGTGTAGGTTTCAAGGATTAGCCTTTAAGTTTTGTTTTCCACTTGAAACTTGAAAATTGGTAGTAACTGAAACTGCAGGCCTGTTACTGTTTGATATTTTGTATCACCCGTACAGTTTCACATATCTGTTACACTTAAAGACAACACGACTTTCCCACTACACTCCTAAAATATTTTCTTATATCTGAAAATCGCGCATATCTTCTATACATATGATACAGTGATGATCCATATAGATTCTCTGATAAGAAATCTCCATTTTGATTCGAAGCCAATACTAGGTACGAAAATAATTTCTAACTTCGAATAAATTATACTAAATGTTCACCTGTTGCAAAAATTGAAATAAAATTGTTGAGCCATGCCAACCCAACCCCCCACGAATTGAGAAGATAAGATGTATAAGGTTTCGGATGCTATGTCCATGACTGTTGCTGGATTTGATATGTTTTCATCCAATTGATTTCGCCCACATAAACAATGAGTACACGAGATTTAAAATCGACATCCATAAAAACTCAGCGGAAGGCAAAACAGAAATGTTTTATCCTAGTTAAATATTGGTCAAGATTTAAAGAAAGAACTTAACCTTGATCAGTGAGACACTCAATATATATATATATATATATAATATATATATATATATATATATATATATATATATATATATATATATATATATATATATATATATATATATATATATATATATATATATATATTATATATATATTATATATATATATATATATATTGAGAGAGAGAGATAGATAGATAGATAGATAGATAGATAGATAGATAGATAGATAGATAGATAGATAGATAGATAGATAGATAGATAGATAGATAGATAGATAGATAGATAGATAGATAGATAGATAGATAGATAGATAGATAGATAGATTTGATAGATATATATACATACACACACACACAGATATATACACACACACACATATATATATATATATATATATATATATATATATATATATATATATATATATATATATATATATATATATATATATATATATATATATATATATATATATATATATAATATATTGTAAACATAAAAGCACCAAATATTATGTGATAGAATTAGGTGCATTGAGTGAACATTATAAGAAACTAATGTTTTAATTTTTACAGCTGTTTTTCTCCCGATGACTTTGGCATTTATTTATAATAATTATATCAATTAAGCATTGCGTTAATTAATCATATTGATGAATTACAAATACGAATAGGCAAAACAAAAGTTGGAATTAAATACCTTTCGCCTTTTGTATTAATTCTAACGACAATGCCATACCACATAAAGCTCTATTGCCATCGTGTACCTTATTCTTGTGCCGAAAAGTATCTAGCAATTAGACATGGTACTTTTAATTAGCATATAAAATTTATGTATTTATTTGTCCATTCTGCTTTTATGATCCCAAAACTTTCGTTGCCTCTGCCTTAGCTTGAAGTTCGATACCGATCGATACTGAAAGTTCGTGATAGTTATATTATTTAGACTATGAGATCTCTACATTATCCGGACAATGAGATCTCTACATTATCCGGACAATGAGATCTCTACATTATTCGGACAATGAGATCTCTACATTATCCGGACAATGAGATCTCTACATTATCCGGACAATGAGATCTCTACATTATTCGGACAATGAGATCTCTATAGTATCCGGACAATGAGATCTCTACATTATCCGGACAATGATTTCTAAATTATCCGGACAATGAGACCTCTTAGTTCTTGGTCTAGAAGGATATACTGCATGATTTGCATCAGAGTGATTTTTAAAAAAAGTCGAGAAATAGAGGGAGGAAATGTTTGGCAGCTTTCTGCTTTATAACATACATAGATACATATGCAAATATATACATAGATGCATTCGTTGTCCTGCTTGACGAAGTGGAGAAAGATACTTGATGATTTACACAGCGCTAAACTCAACTTCACCTGTCTGCAACGTAGAAAGAAAGTGTATATTAAACGTCAACACCATCAGATTATTATACAAATGATATACCAATAATCTTTTTGTTGTACAGTATAAGAAACATTTTGAGAGATATACATGGTTTTTATTAGTACTTTCTACATAGCATTGAAATTATAGAATTAAAAACGATAGCAATAGTAAGTAAGCTTGCACATGGGCCTGAGATCCATTGATGACCGAAGAAAATCGTCCAGGAAATCCCCAAGAAATCCGTCCTATCTCAGGAAAATAAAAGCATTTACCCTTTATGCGATGCAAAAGTTTTATAAGTAAGTTTCTTCCATGTCCCTATCACTGTAGTGGTAGAGGTAAAACAAGGTATGCTCTGTTTGTTTTGTATGTTTGTTTGTGAGGAGGGTAATGAGGGTCTTGGGAGGTAATTCTTTAAAGTTGAATGATGTGTTGGTTGAAACAAGAGAGAAATGTGATGAAGGAGTAAATGACGTATTTGACGTACATCATAATATGAAAAATATATACAATTGAATGATTCTACATTGCCAGTACAACCTGAACATTGCGTTATCTTCATCCGGTCCCTCTACATTGATTTAACAAGAAAAGTGATAGCATTTACCTGAAACGCCGTTGGACTTAAAGCACCACATTCTGACTCGATATACGAATAGATCTATTGGAATCAATTATATAAACTGCGTAATTTCATATAAAAATTTTACATAATGCAAACAATGCAAAATAATTTTACCTGATGAAAAGGATTTTTCTCTTATCTCGCTGATGAAACTAAAATGCAATTTATCAGGCATTGTAATTATTCTCTTGATGTTTTGGTTGTTTTAAATCACTCCCCATAACGAACGATATTTAAGATGCCATTGCTACGATTGTTTACTAGTTATTTCAATCAAACTTCATAAATTGATACATATAAGATGTACGCAGTTGTAATATGTGCAAGGGGAACAAAATCAATACATACTGGGATCGTAAAGAGAGATTAAACTGAACGATAACAAAAATATTATTAAAGTGGAAAATATTAGAATATTAAAGAGAGAACGCAACGATTATTTACATATGAATGTAAAACAAGAGAGAGGCTCGACCTACGTGCACGATAATATATATATATATATATATATATATATATATATATATATATATATATATATATATATATATATATATATATATATTCTCTAAAATCAGACATAACACAGAGTGACAAGAGATTTGGGCAGTCAGCTAAAATGGTTGGTGTAGATTAAGACAGCTATCTCTGGTATTTGTTACTTGCATGTTTGTCCATTTGGACACAACTGAACCTATTACATGCCTGCTGGTGTGTAATATTTTGGATTCTGCAAGACACCACAGGATTGACCGATGCTGTCATTGCACGTTTAAAAGAAAGTTTTAGGAACTATGTAAACAGCAATTTTACAGGCATAAATAGAAAACAAAACCTTTATCGCAAAGTATGTATCCACTGTTAAACACTATTTTAAAAATTCTTTTGAAAACTAACAACTCAGGAGAAAGGTTATTGGTAAGATGTCAGGGTGAAGATCGACTAGGAAACTCATGACGACGGTAATGTATTGTCACCTAGTGACAAGGTCATAAAACTGGCAGTAACGTCGGATACAATAATAACGTAAAGATATCGACGAATCGTTTGAACTTCGATAAAATTATGCTATCAAGATCGTTGTATTTAAGGATGGTACTGCATCAATCCAAAACAGTGCAACAATATATTTTGATGACAAAGCAAATGTGATTAAAACTCTGTGTATGATAACTATAACGATAAGCATTGCCCAGCTCTCATTATGTACATTGCGCATCTACTAATGTAACTGTGCCTTCCAAACATTTTAAGCACGATCTGTTACTTGGACGTTTCAAAAGCACGTGACAATATCGAAACGTCGGACAAAAACAAATTTTGACTTAATATTTTAAATTAACTTGAAAGAAAGAATTAGACTGATACAAAAGATTTTAAGATCTACTTTGTTTCTTTCTTAAATAGGACACTAACTTTTAACCTTGTCTTGCTGATGTCCGAGGCACATATCTGTTTAATTATTTGTTAGGAGTCACGATTAAAAATGATGAGAAAAAACACTCAAATGTCAGCTCAAAAAAACCAGTTCAATCAAACAAAGAAGAAACTGATCAACAATATTTATTAAGCCGTTTTCAATTTTATTAATGAGCAATCATCTATGCTTCCTGAAGGCGATTGTTCATCCCCCCACTTAACATTTAGCTACATTTATTACGGACATAGAAAATGTTGATAAAAATATATCAGTTCCAGGACTATAGCAGCTTTGTGTTGATTTTATCTAGCTTTATAACTTATACTAATATTTTATCTGAAGCTCTTTCCAAATGTACTAGATTTCTCACTAATTGTGCCGATTAGCTTGAAACACTTACTAGCTATTTTCACCATACATCTATTGTTGTGGTTGCTTTCAAACGTGACCGCTCAGATGGCCTAGTGGATAGAGCGCCCGCTTCTGATGCAGAGGGTCGCGGGTTCGATCCCAGGCTGAGCCATACAAAAGACTTATCAAAATAATGGCACTAACAGCTGCCTCGCTAGGCGCTCAGCATTAAGAGGTTAGAATTAGGACTGGTCGGTTTGGTGTCAGGATAATATTACTGGGTAGGACATCATGCTACATTCCTGCGGCAAGATGTCCAAGTGCTACGAATCACTATATACTGCCACACTGCAGGCATTGTAGCGAAATGACTGAACATTATGTCATGTCATGCATGCTATCAGATTTTTTTGAAGAGACTGGTTTGTTTGTGATTCTGCACATATTTTCTATAGTCAATATTTCATACCTGCCATGATATTTTAATTTCTTCCTTGTTTGGCCAATAAAATGTACTGAGTAATGGAATCTCCAATTAGTGTGACATCTCAAAAATCATTAGCAGTGACATCCCAAAAATCGTTAGCACTATTTAAGATATTATCGATTTATATCTAGTAATCAGCAAGATAAATATTATGCATTTTAGGTGCTCCTCACCTCATGCAATCATGCCTCTTCATGCCTTAGGTGCCACACATGGCATCACCTACAAAGCGTCACTGCTGATGCTCTGCAGGCCAGCGTGTGATTGTGTTTCATGTCAGGCAAAATCCTTTATATTTTCCTCCTCAAGGCATTTTTGCACCAAGCCTTCTTTTGCCTCCAATCTATGATCCAGCGGAGGGCTGTTCGAGTCAGTGCATGCAGTGCCATTCGGCGTACATTCCATAGTCAACGCCATTTTCTCTGTTTAATAATCTGAACAATATGTTAATTCTGTCCTTTGATGAAGATATGTATTATTGATCCTGTTTGGCAGAAGGCTAAAGTAATCTTTCTCAAACACCTTGCTATCCTTGATGGTAGCCTACTTCATTCAGATCCTTACAGTAGCAATCATCAAGCCAACAACACCATAGGACCGCATTATCTGGTTTTTATACAGCCACAGAGATCGTCGGCTCCTCGTAAAATCTAGAGATACAATCATTGAGCCGTGTACTACTTGAATCATTTTAGCAAACATTCATTTCACTATATACATCACTATATATATATATATATATATATATATATATATATATATATATATATATATATATATATATATATATATATATATATATATATATATATATATATATATATATATATATATATATATATATATATATATATATATATGCATAAAACAATTTTTCACGTGTAACTGATAACATGAAAGAATAAAGTATTATATTTCACAAGATAAGTAATGAATGACCTTCGTATCATGTAAGAGGATGCCATGAATAAAGGTTCTAAACAATGTAATTTTAAATTTACATTACGTACTAATCCTAGAATACTGTAAGAATGAGCATGATTCGGAATTTCAGAGCGACATTTCTAAATTCCTCTTTATTGCCATAGAGCATAGTGTTTTTTCATTATGTATCACTATCAAAGGGTGTAGACTTTCTATGGCATCATGTAGATATATGTAATCGCCATTCGATACGTTGAAATCATGTAAACTTGCAAAAATTTGTTAATTATGTCCGTGTATTCATATGGATCAATTTTTGGGGTCATGTGTATAGATTGTTTCAGTTTATTTAAAAATTGATTTACAAAAGTTTGTTACCAGTTGTTCTGTTGATTGTTAACTAGCGTTAAAGTTGTCTACAAACCATATTTTAAATACAGTTTATTTCCTTCTTTCAAAAACCTACTTTCTATGAAATCCTGACAGACCTTAATATACTTTCTAGTTCCCTGTTTGGTATAGATTACATTCTCATCGGGATCACTTGTTAACCATTTTGTACTAGCGTCCTGGTGAATAAGTGACAAGTTATAAACGAATAGTGGTCTTATTGTGTAGTGTCACAACAAACAAAATATCTTAGTTATCCATTTCTCATGTGACGAAAATATACAAATGAAAATATTCAACTTGTTCACTTTCATCAGTTTGATCGTAGAGTCTAAGTTTTCACATGACCAAACTGGCAACTTTTTCCAATGCTTATCGTCTTGAAATATGGCTTACACACAATGCAAGTACCAGACTACATATCTTTCAAACGAGTCTCAAGATTATTTCGCTATGGTTATGTTTAAATTCTGTCTATTCTTTCTCCTAAAAATGTTTTCTAGGTGGGAAATGCATTGATAGGGCGTATTTTTTTTGGGGGGGGGATTTGTTTTGAAATTAGTGCAGCACGTATCGAATATTTTATTATGTTCTATTTAGATTTAAATATATTTAGCTCCTTTTTGCATCCTGTTTTACATTAAAATCTTATTTGTGCAACTATATAGTTAGTTTGCTGTTTCTTTGTACGCTGATTCATTACGTCATTTTATGTGTTTTGTGAGGTAATTTTGAAGTAGAGATCATTATAATTTGACTTGTGTACTACATCTCTGTTTCTACTTTTCTGATATCGACCTTAAGTCGGTGTTGGTTACATTATTGCTTCCAAATGGAGTGAAGACTGCACTATGAAAGAAATCCCCAACTATTCCTAGAATCGAACCACAAACTGTCATTGCAATTCAACGAGTTACGCAATATTATATTGTTTATGTTACTTGCATTGTTAATAGATCTAACGTGTATACTTGCATAGGACACATTATATTGATTGCGCCCCAAGCTGAAAACTTGAATCAAATGCAATGAGTCATAGTACCATTTATTTCTCAAGAGTAAAATTATTCAAAATATTTTTTTTTGTATTCGCTTTGCTGGTTGTCTTCAAAGTATGACAGTTATAGTCCTTTTTTCGTAATAGTAGTAAAATATAAAAGTCCGGTAATTTATACCGTTGGTATTTTGATAAAACTTTGATTTGAATGTCTAAAAAATTATTTAGCTATTAATTTATTTACCCATGGGTGAAGTTCAAATGATCCAAAATTAGTAGCATTTTAAATTTTGTTCCTCATCGTTTTATCAAAATATGAACGACTTATCTTTAAAATGAAAATTCCTATGTCTGTAAAGAATTATATATGGCACGAACTGGGCACATGTAACGTTGAATGCCTTTTTGGTAAAGGAATAATACGGTGTATTAATAATTAATGAGCACATTTTGTAATGTTGGATATGTTCTTTGGTAGGAGGGTAATATGGTGCATTTTTTACAATTATGCAACTTTGTTAAGGCCTCCACACAAATATGTCCTCTAACGCGAACGAAATGTGCAGATATTTTGGGAGCCGTATTTTAATGCAATGCTAAATAGAGTTTTCCTTATCTTCTCGTAATAAATACAAAAGTTCGTACTCACAATATATGCACAAAAATTTCTCCCAAGACGAAGCCTTAGAAGAAAACTACCATATAAGGGACGTAATTTAAATACAGTGTTAAGTAACGTTTCGTAAGTCGCCTCATTTAAGTTGACTTATAGGATAGAATTAAAGGGAGGAAATTGTGTCGGCATCAGCAGCTGATATTCCCCGAACGTTGATTCAAATGACTTTTAATATCTTTATTATTATTAAAAGGAGTACATATGAAGAAACTAAGAAATTACATCCTCTGATAACAAAATAAAAAATATATGTGTAGCAAGGGGATGCAAGAGAGAAAATATAATGTATAATTTGTCATGTGAACGCTCTTGTGGAGAAATTTGGGAATATCCAAAATAAATCAAAGATGCAAAGCAGCACTTTTCGGGAATGTTTGCTTGGTATTTCATGTTCTAGCATTCATATATGTTTCATGTTACAGTTACAGTTTAATGTATATTTTCGTTAATATATTACATTTTAGAGGTCCGACAAAAGCCACCATGTTCCCGGAAAAAACTATTTCATCCATTATGGATAAAATGCGGGGGGGTAATGACGAGCAGACACCATGTCGGATCAAAGCATACTTTATACGTCACTTCTTGTCTCCTTCGTCATCAGGTATGCAGAACTAGAGATCCCACCGACCAAACAAAAGGGGGAAACAAACAAAACCCATTTTTTCTATCGACTCATAGTAATGGACACTGTTAAGCCGATTGTCTTGAAACCGTAAAAATATGAGTATGAGACATGCGCGTGCTCGTGTATGTGTGCTTAGTCAATGTTTTAAAAAAAAAAGCTTTGGGGTCATATCCGTGCATGGTAACAGTGGTTCATTTACCTCTTTCGATAATGTTATTATAAAAACGTTTGAAAAAAGTTAAAACAGGTTTGGTTCTTATTAGCTTGTATTAGTAGTCAAAACTGTCTTAACGTTCTTCTGCGTTTTATATTCCTAAAAGCAACAATTGTATGGTCCCTGGACCAGGTTAGTATAGATATAAACTTTACTAATTATTTTTATAGACCATCTGATTAAGATTAATTATTGTTTCACTTGAAATAAAATTGCGATAGAATTTTGGTTATTTACAACTTTATATATATATATATATATATATATATATATATATATATATATATATATATATATATATATATATATATATTATAAGTTTATTTAATGTATATTATATGATTCAATAATTACTTGAAAAGATCCAAAGAATGTCAGTTTATAATCCCGCAAAGATGGACTCTAATAATAAGTTTAGCAACACACATATCGCATCTATGATTCCTTACTGATGCCCATATTGCCTCGTGTATTTAGTGGCTAATTATGCATTTATAGGCTATAATACTCGAAATATGATTCTTTGAGTGAGAGTCAGTTAAATTAAGCCAGATGTATGGGCCTGAATAGATGCGAATGAGAACTTATTTATTAAATGGTAGCTCTAAAATGTAATGTTAGCATTACTGTGGAAATTAAGTGATGTACAGATGGAGATATTACGTCAAAACATACGAAACCATGACAAGTCCTTGCACTTTTAAGTCCGCCTTCAGAGTCCTTTTTGCACTCTTATTCGGCTTTCAGCCTGGAAATCATCACACACCAAATGACGAGCACTTTAAATACTGCACCAATATATTGTGATGAGTGATATTCGTCCATAAAGTATTAGGACAGGTTTATTTTTGATTT